AAGCTGGGACGTTCACTCTATTAGAGAAGATCGGAAAGCCCCGAAACATAAGCATAACTCTTGATGATGAATGAGATAGTGTAGAAGAAGTAGTGAGGAAGGTTGATGAATATATTGGTTACCGTAGTCGAGTTTCGATAAAATTAGGACTGAATGAAGATGGGGTAGAGCTCTAAAGGAGGTTCAGGCAGCTACAACAAGCAGCCTTCAGGGAGGTATTGTGTGGTTTTCAGGATATTCAGCGATTCAACAACAACAACAACAAAAAAAAAAAGAAATTTAACTACCTTGTTCAGGGATACAGGAGCCATACTGGTTTAAACGATAAGGGGATAATAGGGCACCTTGTGAAAATTATCTGTTGTGTTTTAGCAACATAAAATTTAAGCCAATGATTAGTGGCCCAATTGAAAACACAATCAGTTCAGCAAATTGGAGAAAGGCTACTAAAATGCGACAGTGAGCACCCACACAAGCTATAGCAAAATCGTCAACATAAAAAGACGACCAAACTGTGGAAGGCAGAACAGAGGTAGTCATAAATACCAAGCAGGAAGAATGTAGTGCTAAGAACAAAACCTTGAGGTACGCCTTCAGTCTGGACAAAGTCAGGGACAAAGCATTTATCCGGACACGGAAGTGTCTCTCCGATAAAAAAAAGTGTCATACCAAGTAGCGTCAAAAGCTTTTTCGAGATAAAAAAAAAAAGACTGCTAAAATTGACTGATTTTTAGTGAAGTCACTGTGAACATCCGTATTCAAGTGAAATAAAGGGTCAATGGTAGAACGAGCCTTATGAAAACCAGATTGACGTGGAGAGAAAATTTAAGGTTTCCAAGTACCACACTAAACGTTTGTTAACTAAGTATTTCAAGTTCCATCAACTTACAGATTGCATTAGGAAGCGCGAAAGGTCTGTAGTGAGTAGTGTCTTGACCTGAAGTACGTACCTGACTTACTAAAAGTAAGACAACAGCAGCTTTCCGCTGTCGAGGAAAAATTCCTTGGGACCAAACAAGACAGAAAAGATGAAAGAGGTCGACAAGCACCGTAATGTGTAAATGTTTAAGTATAGGGACATGGATGTCATCATGCCCAGCTGCTGTCACTTGGTGCATGGATAGTGTTGAAGTGAGCTCATGGAATATGAGATGCACGTTATAATGATCCACATTGCGAGAAGTCAAGTCTAGAGGCATCAACTCCTTGGAGTTTAAAGGGAAGAATTGAGAGAAGATGTAGGCCCTTGTATACAGGTACAGTTGACGTGGCTGTCAACAGGGTTTGCAACTCTATCACCACCAGTCGTAAGACTGGGAGAGGAGCTTGGAGAGTACTTACCAATCAGCCTCTGTGCCAGTAGACAGGTAAACATGCCAACAGGTATGTTTTGCTGCCTAGAGAACACGATGAGCAATCATTCTCTCCTGATCAAAAGCTAAGCAATGGTCTGTGGTTACGGTAGTGGCCCCATAGTACGAGCACAGTTAGGAGACCACCAGGGAATACATTTATTATGTTTGCTCAAGGTTTGGGGAATTACAATCAGTGCTGCACCAAGATAAGTGGTGATAACTCATCTAAAGAACATGAAGCAGAAAAAAAAAACCAGCAAAGAGGTATGACGTGTATACAACTCCCAATCTGCCTTTTCAAACTGCCAATGGGAATAATGAGGGGTGATTGGGTGTGAGGAAAAGAGGGAAATGACCGCTGTCATGAACAGGTTCTACAGATCTATCAAAGTCCAGTGCAATAGAAAAACAGCAGACAGATTTCTACACAGGAAAGAGAACAAGTGCGAGGATCTGAATGTGTGGGATACCGGTGGCAATATAAACACAAATGCAGTATAATGTGATCCTTTATTGACTACGTTTCGCCCACACAGTGGGCTTTTTCAAGTCACAAACAGAACTACCTGGGGTGGAAGGAACGCGAGTATTTATAGTCCGGCTGAGGTCAGGTGAAGAATGCTGCATCTGATGATGTACCGAGTTGGGTTGTAGAGTCTAAAAACTTGGGTAGCTTGGAAAGGAGACTGGACAAGTTTGTGAGCAGACCTTCTACAGTGTTCTTATGTGGGATAGCGATGAAGAAGTTTCTTGGCAAGTGGTTCAGCTATGTTATAGAAGCCACTATTCTGGTTGAAGTTGTCGGATATAGAAATAAGTGATGATTCCAGGATTCTTCGGTATTGAGTGTTGTCTTCTGTGGCGATAAGTCTTGAGTTTCTGTAGTTTATCAAGTGGTTGTGTGAATTACGGTGTTGTACGCACCGCACCGTAATTCACACAACCACTTGATAAACTACAGAAACTCAAGACTTATCGCCACAGAAGACAACACTCAATACCGAAGAATCCTGGAATCATCACTTATTTCTATATCCGACAACTTCAACCAGAATAGTGGCTTCTATAACATAGCTGAACCACTTGCCAAGAAACTTCTTCATCGCTATCCCACATAAGAACACTGTAGAAGGTCTGCTCACAAACTTGTCCAGTCTCCTTTCCAAGCTACCCAAGTTTTTAGACTCTACAACCCAACTCGGTACATCATCAGATGCAGCATTCTTCACCTGACCTCAGCCGGACTATAAATACTCGCGTTCCTTCCACCCCAGGTAGTTCTGTTTGTGACTTGAAAAAGCCCACTGTGTGGGCGAAACGTAGTCAATAAAGGATCACATTATACTGCATTTGTGTTTATATTGCCATTGTGTCGGTATTTTATACCATTTATTTCCACCGTGGGATACCGGTGTTTAAGACATATAGAGGAAGAAAAGTGGGAAAAGCCTTTAACTGATCCCCACGTCAATCACAGTAAGATCCTCCCTAGAACAAATGACGAGCATTCGAATCACATAATAAAAGGAGTGGGGTAGATAAAGAAGAAATTAAAAACTGAATGTCAGGGATAAATAATGTGCGTGAAGGGGACGGATACAAAGAGCAGACAGTGTACGAAATGCTCGTGCTGCAGTATATAAAAGTGGAGTACGAACTAAAAGTCGAGAATATCATTGCGCTCAGGGAGTGCACTTTCACTGTATGTCTCGTTAGGAAAAGTATCCAGTGACTAATAAAACTGTCAGAAATAGGAAGACTAACTGTATAACATAATTTTGGTTATTGTGAACACATACAAGGGAAAACACCAGGTGTCTTGGTACAGATGTCATGTCTTCCACAACTGTATTATTAACATGTGTGCAGCATGACTTCCGCTAATGAGCCCCGCTCACCTGTGACCTAGTCTACAGATGCTACACTCCACTTATAGCTCCAGTACATTCGTGCCTGGCGTCAAACATCTGCTTCAGGCTAAGACACTCACCACCTTCTTTCTAATCTCTCGCCTTTATTCGTCTGAAGAAGCTTACTGAGGAGGCGAAGCGTGTCGACGATGTATCTCACTTATCACGTGTCTGACTCATGGCCTGGCGAGGTTAGTTTTTAGTTTAATATGTTTATTATGCACCCCATACCCATGTTGTTAGGTAAGACACATATGCAACAGTTAGACAACTTTATTCCGAAACGTTTCGCCTACACAGTAGGCTTCTTCAGTCGAATACAGAAAGTAGGCAGGAACAGTAGAGATGTGAAGACGATGTAATCAGTCCATCACCCTTAAAGTCGTAGAATTTGAGGTTGTCAGTCCCTCGGCCTGGAGAAGTACAGTTCCATAGTCAGGAACTATCTGAAGATCAAGCGACAGTGCGGAGACTTAAATACTGTCGGAAGGAGAGGTGCAGGGTAGTAGTAGTAGTAGTAGTAGTAGTAGTAGTGAGAGGTAACTGAGAGGTCATGTCCCTCTCAGATCCAACCCTTCTCACTTGAAAAGCTTGTCCAAGGTGTTTTCTGTACCAAGATGCCACGTGTTGCAGTGTCTGACAAGATGAACATCAAAATGGTATACAATACCGACAGGTTGTTAGGTAAGACACATATGCAACAGTTAGACAACTTTATTCCGAAACGTTTCGGAATAAAGTTGTCTAACTGTTGCATATGTGTCTTACCTAACAACCTGTCGGTATTGTATACCATTTTGATGTTCACCCCATACCCATCCTGTGGGCCCAGTGGCCTGGCTGACAAAGCTGTCGCTTCACACGCTGAGGGGTCCGGGTTTGATTCTCGGTTGGATGTAAACATTCGACGCGTTTCCTTGCACCTGTTCACCTAGAAAGTAGGTACCTGAGTATCAGTTGACTGGTGTGGGTCGCATCCTGGGGAACAAGGCTGAGGACCCCAATGGAAATCAGACAGTCCCTCGATGACGCACTGCCTTTCTTGGGTTATCCTGGGTGGCTAACCTACCGGGGTTAAAAATCCGAACGAAATCCTATCCTATCCTAACTCACACACAAATTATAATTTATCTGACGCATTCTGCTTATAAAGATTCCAGCGAGTGTCTGGTAAATTTAAGTTCTGTTGCCAGTCTGCCACAAATGTTCTGTTTAACCAGATTTCTCGAAATATATGAAATAAATGACTCAAAGTTTTGTAACGTTACTCACGAAATCGTAATGACATGATTGCAAACAAACCATACCACGGGTGGGATTTGAACCCGCGGGTTCAAATCCCAACCGTGGTATGGTTTGCTTTTTTTGTAACGTTTATATACAATTTGAAAAGAAAATTAGTTTATATTAACTGCAATTCTGTGATAGTTTACTCTAGTAGGTCTGCAGTTTCTTATATATTATAATCTTTCAAGGTTAGTTTATCAATAAAGTCAGAAGAGATGATAAGATGGCAAGATTACATTACTATTGTTATTATTATTATTACACATTGATGGGGGAACATTAAAAACCGTATAGGTCACAGCGCATGGGAAAGGGAAGGCAATCAAGTTAAACACAAGGAAGAAAAAGACAGTTCCAAATCCCTGGAAAAAGAGCACCTCCCTTGAGGGGGAGGACAAGAGTTCAGCATTTATTCGGTCTCGTGGAAATGTTGGCAACTATGTACTCAGCGACTGAGGATGACTGGTGAGTGAGTGTAGTGGCGACCATTGTGGTGCTGACGGCGTAGTTTGCCCCTTCATCCTGCCTTCCTGTCTCCTCAGTCGTCATACAACTGCACCACACAACACACAACTTTCACTGGTTAACAACATACTACCAAGGATTATGGCTGCCAGAGGTTAGTGTTACACACTAGCTGGAGTGAATCTACGAGTGTGGAGGTGAGAGACTATGTTGTGTGAAACTACAAATGTGGAGGTGATAGACAATGTTGTGTGAGACTACGAGTGCAGATGTGTGTTGTGTCAGACTACCAGTATGGAGGGCACATTGTATGGGACTACCAGTGTGGAAGTGACTGTTGTGTGGGACTACCAGTGTGGAGGTGACAGTGTTGTATGGGACTACCAGTGCGGAGGTGACTGTTGTATGGGACTACCAGTGTGGAGTTGACAGTGTTGTATGAGACTACCAGTGTGGAGTTGACAGTGTTCAATTCAATTCAATTCAATTCAAAGTTTATTCTCTATAAGGATTACAATGCTGAGTTTACAGAAATTTGGTTATTGTTTGGTTTACATGTAGTAATATTGTGATTACAGAGTGTACCACTAGAACGCTTAGCATGGCTAGGCATTTCGGGCATACTTAGTTTTATTCTTAATTGTAAAATATTACAAATTATGAGGTAAGTTGGTATTATGGCTAAGTGACTAAATACTAGTTTGTGAGTTTAGCAATGTGAATGCTTTTGTTTTGGCACAGTATATAGTTTCAGTATTGGAGTATCACAGGATTCATTATTTTAAGACTGAGATTAATATTTCTGTTTATGGTCAAATGAGTGAGCGAGTGTAAGTGTGAACCACCAGGTGGTATTCGTGTAGTTAGTTGACGGGGTGTATCAGGGAGATAAGATGTTTTCTAATGGTAGTTTTGAAGGTGATGAATGTGTCTGCAGTTCTAGAGTTCTCAGGTAGGGTATTCCAGATTTTAGGGCCTTTGACATACATTGAATTTTTGTAAAGGTTTAGTCGGACACGGGGAATGTCGTAGAGATGTTTGTTTCTGGTGTTATGCCTGTGGGTTCTGTCACAACTATCAAGAAAGCATTTTAGGTCAAGGTTGATATTAGAGTTTAAGGCCCTGTAGATATAGATTGCACAGTAGTAACCTGGAGTTTACCTGGAGAGAGTTTCGGGGGTCAACGCCCCCGCGGCCCGGTCTGTGACCAGGCCTCCTGGTGGATCAGCACCTGATCAACCAGGCTGTTGCTGCTGGCTGCACGCAAACCAACGTACGAGCCACAGCCCGGCTGATCAGGAACTGACTTTAGGTGCTTGTCCAGTGCCAGCTTGAAGACTGCCAGGGGTCTGTTGGTAATCCCCCTTATGTGTGCTGGGAGGCAGTTGAACAGTCTCGGGCCCCTGACACTTATTGTATGGTCTCTTAACGTGCTAGTGACACCCCTGCTTTAAGTGTGGATGTACTGAACTGGGAGTAAGTTTAGATCTTTGAAGAGTGGGGGGGTGTGCTGCCAGGGATGGGATTTAGTGATTATTCTTACTGCAGCTTTTTGTTGGGTTATTATTGGCTTTAGGTGTGTTGCTGCAGTTGATCCCCAAGCACAAATAGCATAGGTGAGGTATGGATAAATAAGTGAGTGGTATAGTGTGAGAAGGGCATTTTGCGGCACGTAGTATCGTATCTTGGAGAGGATCCCAACCGTTTTGGATACTTTTTTGGCTATATGCTGGATATGGGTGCTGAAATTCAGGTTGTTGTCAAGGTATAAGCCTAGGAATTTTCCCCCATTATTTCTGGTAATTAAGAGTGTTGTCAATCTTAATGTTAATTTGTGCATCTCCTGCTCTGCTACCAAACATAATATAGTAAGTTTTGTCAGTGTTAAGCGTAAGTTTATTGGCTGTCATCCAAGTCGATATTTTAATCAGCTCCTCATTCACAATGGTGTTGAGGGTGGCAAGATTAGGGTGAGAGATGACATAAGTCGTGTCATCAGCAAAGAGAATGGGTTTCAGGTGTTGGGATACGTTTGGAAGGTCATTGATGTATACGAGGAAGAGCAGGGGACCAAGGACACTTCCCTGCGGAACTCCAGTGTTGTATGAGACTACCAGTGTGGAGGTGACTGTTGTATGGGACTACCAGTGTGGAGGTGACAGTGTTGTGCGGGACTACCACTGTGGAGGTGACAGTGTTGTATGGGACTACCAGTGCAGAAGTGACGGTGTTGTATGGGACTACCAGTGTGGAGGTGAGTGTTGTGTGGGACTACCAGTGTGGAGGTGACAGTGTTGCGTGGGACTACCAGTGTGGAGGAGACAATGTTGTATGGGACTACCAGTGTTGAGGTGACTGTTGTATAGGACTACCAGTGTAGAGGTGACTGATGTATGGGACTAAGAGTATGGAGGAGACAATGTTGTAAGGGACTACCAGTGTGGAGGTGACAGTGTTGTATGGGACTACCAGTGTGGAGGTTACAGTGTTGTATGAGACTACCAGCATGGAGGTGACTGTTGTATGGGACTGCCAGTGTGGAGGTGACAGTGTTGTATGGGACTACCAGTGTTGAGAAATGGCATTTCCAGCTAAGTTTAAACAGTGAACACTTAACTTAAAGACAACTCATCGCCTGCACAGCCGCCCCTGCAGACAAGGTCTAGAAGCTGTCGAAACCATCTCACAACAGGCTATCAAGAAATATAATTTGTAAGATTATAAATTACCCCTAGGGGGTGTTATGTCAGCTTTTCATTCACTGATGGCTGACAACTTACTTGTTTGGACTCAAAAGTCCACACCTTACTGCCGACTATAGGTTGATTACAAACTCCTTGCGACTCAAGAACTGCGCAGTCCCCCGTTCTACAAGAAATTCGTAACATACCTTGCTCTTGTAACATGAGCTATGGTGTTCTTCACACCTTCGACAGGTATCGGTGACTTGATAGAAGCTGAAGTGTCCTTGGATGTCCACGTCTTCCATTGTCTAGGAAACGCACACTGGTACACTATGTTCCACAAGATTTGTCTTTATTGTTCACAATGTTATCACTGAAGAAGCTGATCACACTTCTCTTAAGTGTTTATTGTGTTTTATGAGACACTTTGTTCACACTAACGCACAGATCGTTCTTTGTTGGTTATCCTGGCATCAGTGTCACTCTCAGTAGAGTCAAAAGTAATCTGAAGACGCCACAGCGCCCCACGCCGTTGCTCCCCTAGCACAAAAAAAGGCTGACCTAGTACTTTTTACTTCCTTGCCACTTCCTCGATGAAGCAAAGCAGAATGTTTGATTCTTGCTGTCTTAAGCATAGACAACAATGTCCACTATCTTTACTATGGTAATAAAGTGGGAGCAGGATTTTCCTTAATTGTCCTGCTAAAGTAAGAGATGTACTGTCTCTTATAAAAATACACTTTGCAACACTGGACTGCAAGGAGCAGAGGTCATTTGACCACGCATACTCGTATAGCATCTGTGATCAATTACTCACTGTAGCAGTAAACAAGATATTTGCCCCTTCTGAGAGGGCTGGGCCCCTCAGGGCTGAAAGGGGCTGAAGGGGCTGAAGGGGGCAGATACCCCCCTCCTGGAGAAAATTTCTCCACAACCAGTATGGAGGTTACAGTGTTGTATGGGACTGCCAGTGTGGAGGTGACAGTGTTGTATGGGACTGCCAGTGTGGAGGTGACAGTGTTGTATGGGACTACCAGTGTGGAGGTTAGTGTTGTATGGGACTACCAGTGTAGAGGTGACAGTGTTGTATGGGACTACCAGTGTGGAGGTTACAGTGTTGTATGAGACTACCAGCGTGGAGGTGACTGTTGTATGGGACTGCCAGTGTGGAGGTGACAGTGTTGTATGGGACTACCAGTATGGAGGAAACAATGTTGTATGGGACTACCAGTGTGGAGGTTACAGTGTTGTATGAGACTACCAGCGTGGAGGTGACTGTTGTATGGGACTACTAGTATGGAGGTTACAGTGTTGTATGGGGCTGCCAGTGTGGAGGTGAGTGTTGTATGGTACTACCAGTGTGAAGGTGACAGTGTTGTATGGGACTGCCAGTGTGGAGGTGACAGTGTTGTATGGGACTGCCAGTGTGGAGGTGACAGTGTTGTATGGGACTACCAGTGTGGAGGTCACAGTGTTGTATGGGACTACCAGCGTGGAGGTGACTGTTGTGTGGGACTGCCAGTGTGGAGATGAGTGTTGTATGGGACTACCAGTGTGGAGGTGACAGTGTTGTATGGGACTACCAGTGTGGAGGTCAGTGTTGTATGGGACTACCAGTGTGGAGGTGACAGTGTTGTATGGGACTACCAGTATGGAGGTTACAGTGTTGTATGGGGCTGCCAGTGTGGAGGTGAGTGTTGTATGGTACTACCAGTGTGAAGGTGACAGTGTTGCATGGGACTACCAGTGTGGAGGTTACAGTGTTGTATGGGACTACCAGTGTGGAGGTGCCAGTGTTGTATGGGACTTCCAGTGTGGAGGAGACTGCGTGTTAAGGGTCCCTGCCTAATTCCTCTTATTCAACATCCATTAAGGGCGGTTCCTTCATCCCTTTGAGAGGTTCCTGAGTCAAGGAACTGGACCTGCAGTTACCGTTCTGACCTCGATTCTGATCTCAACTCGTTATGTTCAAAGGAGCTCTAGTGAGCATCAATATATTTGTCAAGTGTTACGGTCATTATGAAGCCGAACTACGTCATACATAGTAACGCAGTTGTAGGATTGACGTGCATATTGTGGTAAGTGTCGTAGGGTGTAGCCAGTAACTGGATGGGTTACAACGTGAAAATAGCTTGGTCCTTGCCTTCGAAGACCTGCAACTATTTAAGATCACGATGAATGACCATGGCAAGCCCTTTGACACAGTGTATCATAACTGAGCGACTACCATATACCAGCAGCCAGTACCTGACTACCTCAGTGACAACCATACACCAGCAGCCAGTACCTGGCTTCCTCAGTGACTTATACACCAGCAACCAGCACTTGACCATCTCGGTGACTACCATACACCAGCAACCAGTACCTGGCCACCTCAGTGTACCTGGAGTATACCTGGAGAAGATTTCGGGGGTCAATGCCCCCGCGGCCTGGTCTGTGACCAGGCCCCATGGTAGATCAGGGTCTGATC